CGGAACTCCACCAATCTGGATGTCTACCTCAGGGCATTTGCCTACAGCACGTTCTAGAAAACGGTCTTTGGTTAGGATGTCCTATGAGCCTTTTGACTTGCCTCGCATTGCCCGGCTCATAGCAACGGAGGGCTCCGGTTTCCCTGAACCGCAGGACTTGGCTTAGCATTAGAAAGTCTTCCTGAGTCACATAGTTTATTGCAATGTCTGACCATGTGCCCAACCCCCTCACACTGCAGACAAATTGGCTGTCCATCATCAATATACTTCAGCTATATTTTGAATCGAACACCTTTGGTTCCCTTCTCTGAACTAGCATTTTGCATTGTGAGCTCACGGACTGCATTGGTTAGCTCACCAATAGCATTACCCTGCTGTGCAATTATTTTAATTACTTCCTGCATAGTGGTGATCAAGTCAGTCTGTGCATTACTAGTCGAGTCTGTTTTTTTCAGAAACCTCGTCTGGGCCGCCACCCACTAGATTCCTGTTTCTCCCCACATTAGTACTGCGAGGCCGGTCTTGAAGTGTCTACATCATTGCCTCTTCTCGTACATCAAACAGGCTTTAGTCAGGCTTCTCTCTTATAAGCCTACGCAATTCACGTCGAAGGGTGGAGTCACGTACACCTTCAATGAACTGGTCTCTAAGTGCTAGCTGTACATCAACTACAATGTTAGGAGACTGTTGAAGAGCAGGATTAAGCAGCTGTGAGCGCGCATGTGAAGAATCCCGCAAGTCTTCCCCATCTAACTGCCGGCGCGCATGTAACAGTTGTGGAGTAGTGCGTCTCTCTCTGAATACTTCCCTCAGGTATGAAAACAGATCACTGGATTGCTTGACCTGTCCACCCACCCGTAACTTAACCTCCTCTAGAGCTGACCCCTTTAACTGTGAGAAGATGAAGTCTACCTGCTCCTCCCCATGTAGACCCCTTGCTCTCATCGCCCGCACCACCTCTTCTATAAACTCATCAACAGTGTGAACATCTTTCCCTGGTTCACCACTAAAAGGTGCCTTATTTTTCTCTTGGAATGTAAACAATAGACCTTGGTTGAGCATCACCCACGTTAGCAATACTTGACATTACAGCATCATGTTTTCTACCCAGTTCCAAAATCTGTGACTGCAGTTGTACCAAAGGGTTACCTCCCTCATCAGACATGGAGGCAGCTGGGTTGTCCCCATAATGGCTGGGACCAGCCCATGGAGCAGCCACACCCTCTTCCTCTTCTGACATTTCAAACTGTCGCCTTCAGTGTCCTTTCTGCAGCAAGATAACAGTCACTACCAGTTGCCTCTCAGTCCAGCAGTTTCTCAGAGGGAGACGTCCCGTGGTCCTCTCTTCCCGCAGTCTATGGCGATACCTCTTGTCCTGGAACACCAGCCACGTGCCACCCTGCTGCGTCTGGGACACCTCACGGCAGTCGTCGCACCCTCTGATCCCGGAGCTGGAGTCTTCTTAGCCACTACTGTTGTTTCTATACGTATTATCCCTGTCCAACTATGACCTCAAAATTAACCGGGGATCCCACCGCTGCCATCAAAATTAGTGTGGTTTAATTAAAAGGATGAGACCAGACACAAAGATACATTTATATTTGATGTGGGTCTTTTATTTCCCCGACTGCACTCTTGGAGTACAGCGTTAATTAGTCAAATTTTAAAAGTTACAGATCAATTTACAGCAAAATTAAACAATTGCTTTTTACTCGATTTAGGATTACATAATAACAGGACTGACAACTGGAAACACTATATTCGAAAGCTACATAGAAAAACAACAGTAGTGGCTTCCTCTCCCATATCAGTACTCGGCCTGTGTCCTCGGACCCACACACATGGAACTCACGGCAGCTTCTGTCTCCCCTCTAAATGAGGCAGATGCATACAACTTACCACCATGTCTCTAAACAGTTACCAACCCCAATTACAAGGTGATTCAGCATTCATTAGTAACTTCTCCCGCTACTTACCCTGACCCGTCGTTCAGGTCTTTCCTTTCAGCGCAGTCTGGATGCTAAATGCTAACGCTCTGTCCACAGCAGCCTCTGATTCCCGCTCTGTATTTCCACATCTTACGTGAACTCCGTGCTCTCGCGTAGCTCACGCTTCACTGTTCTTAAAGTGACAGTACGCCTAAAATAAAAGCAGCATCTGTCACTAACCCTGCACGTAAGTCATATCTATCAGGTACAGTACAGAAATCTTCCTACCCCCACTTCGCCTGGCTACATAAAAACAGTCAAGGAAAAATAATTATACCGTGAAACTGCCAGAATCTTAAAAAATACCGTGATACAAATTTTTGGTCATACCGCCCAGCACTATATGACTTTCTCCTAATTTCTATTTGTTTCATTTACAGATTCAAAGTTCAAGATCCACATTCACACTATTCTTTGCAAGTAGGATACCAACCTTTTTTTACGGTTTCTTTTAGAATTCAAGCTGCCTTCTCTCTTTGTTCTGGGCTGGTTTAGTCTTTGTGATGTTGGTAACAGGACCGTATCAGTCCCGTGTTAGCTGGTTTAGTCTTTGTGATGTTGGTAACAGGACTGTATCGGCCCCGTGTTAGCTGGTTTAGTCTTTGTGATGTTGGTAACAGGACTGTATCGGCCCCGTGCTAGCTGGTTTAGTCTTTGTGATGTTGGTAACAGGACCGTATCAGCCCCGTGTTAGCTGTTTTAGTCTTTGTGATGTTGGTAACAGGACTGTTTAACAAATTTAAAATGTTATGTGAGACTAAGATTAATTGAAAGAAAATAGGTGTTTTTGCACTTTTCCAAGCACACTATTGGCTAATATCTACTTATACGTCATCCAAACATAGCCGCCCACTCTATTTGCTTGAAAAAGTAACTTCGACAAAGTTACGATAAACTAAAAGTGTGCAAGAATTCCGAGTGGCAACAGTTCTTTTTCATTTGTTAAACTGTAGAAGTTGTTGACATAAAAGGGGTCCTTTATAATAACTGCACGCTATGAATCAGTAGTATGAGTAAACTCTTAATAAAGCATTGTTCCTACATTAACACTCATTAGTATGCAATTCATAAACGGTTATAAATGTTTTAATCTTCATTAATAAGCTTGTCTATTACCAAGCTGCTGTTGGCCCACGGCCTAAAACGTGTTAAGTGCTGTTTCCCCATCGATGCGTTTCCCCCTTACTAAACCTGAATCTGTCACGATCAGGCTTTGCTTTGTGTGTTCTGTGTGTTTTTCTGTAGCTCCTCACTCTACCTGTCGGCCACTCCCTCAGCACCAGTCCAACTCCCTTCACCTGTCCCTGATCGGTAATCAAGCTCTCCCTCATCAGCACAACACTCCTCACCTGTTCAAACCACTTTATAAACCCCTGTCTCTCAGCCACTCACTGCCAGGTCATTGTTTGTGTTCATGTCTACCCGCCCGCTCTTGCTCGTCCTGTTCCCGGTTTCCCCGTCTGCCTGCCCTGCCTCGTTTCCCTCTGGATTTTCTCTCTTGTCTTGTGCTTGGACTCCCTGTTGTGTTGGTAATTATTCTTTTTGTGTTTAATAAAATGCCTGCTTCACGCTACTCTGCCTGGTCTGCATTTGAGTCCTCCACCATGCCCCGTGACAGAATCAGCACTTATGTGTATATGTACTAGGGCTACATTGTACTTTTATTTTTCTATTTCTTTCTATTTTGAAATAATAGTATGAAAAAAGTATTAGTAAGAGAAAGTCACGGTGATACATTATGGATTTGGGGCCCTACTGTGGGCATGGGGCCCCTAGCACTCACACCGCCTGAGCCGTATCCACACGATCATAATGACATTTCTAATCCAATATGCTGAAGTACAGAGAACACCACGAAACAATCTGTGGCTGTCCTCATGGGCGGCATTCGATGTTTATGTATGGTGCAGGTAGGTGAAGTAGATGGGATTTGTCTCTGATGATGTCGTTTGGTGCTCTTGTTCATATCGTGTGTGTTGCTCGTGTCTAAGTTGTTGTCCATCTCTCCAGGTTACTACATGGGGATGTGTATCGCTGCTCCAGAGAAAAACCTGGGATACATTCACCAGGTCAGTCTGTCTCCCTGTCTGTCTCCCTGTCTGTCTCCCTGTCTGTCTCCCTGTCTGTCTCCCTGTCTGTCTCCCTGTCTGCAGATTTGTGAACACACTTGGATTCTATACACATGCATTACACTTTAGTCCGTTCCCAGTAAGGCTGCAAGTTTATGAACAGAATGACCAACACAATTTTTCATTGATGATTAGATTGTACTTTCACATTTAGATGACCAGCACTGCTTTCTCTACTTCATTCCTGCTCATGTACAAATCTCTGCGTCAGAATAAGACGATGCAGCTCCTACAGGAGAAATCAAATTGTACCAAACTTCTGAGCCAAAATACCAAATCAACAGAGCACTGCTTTCACTGTCATGTGGTGCTACATTCCTGCTAATGAACAAACCTTTGCATCAAAATAAGTCTTAAAACAGGGTTCTTCCTCACCTGAATTAAGAGCATTTAGCATTTATGAGCGTTTTGCCCATAAAATAAACTGTGTATTACTCTTCTACTCTCGACTGCATCGGCAGCATTCAGGAGGGTTTCTCACAGGCTGTTGTTGAATGCTTTGTACACAGTTTGATATGCAGCGGAGTTTGAGTGTCAATATTGCAGTCGATCAAACATCAATATTGCAGCTGCTCGTGTTCATTTAATAGTGGGAAGTCAAAATTGTGATGAACAAAAACTGTTTTGTCAAAATCAGTGGCTGATGCTGAGGACTTCAGGTGAAGTCTTAAATAGAGATGTTATTTGAACAAGACTTAAAATCAGGCTGGAATGAGAGAAAAGAGAAAATGTGCATAATATTGTCTATATAGTTATGTTCTAGGTATGAGCAGCTACATGAAGGAAGTGCACCAGTGACTGATGTGAATCACAGCTGAACTCTGTTCATTTGTTTGTCAATTTCCATCACAACTTCCCAAGAACACAAAAGCTTCTATATAGTTTATCCTCCTCTGTGGAAATAACCCAGTTCCACCTGCCATATTTTCACCAGATTTTGGTTTCAGTTGGGACTAAAATCATTTTGACAAACAACTCAGCAATGCATTAAAGGGACAGTGTGTAATTTCTAGGGGGGATTATGGGCAGATTTTGAATATAATATTCATAACTATATTTTAATCGGTGTATAATCACCCGGAACTAAGAATCGCTTTTCGTTAGCATAGAAAAAGCCATTTATATGTACATGGGGAGCGGGTCGTCTTCCACAGAGTCCACCATCTTGCATCGGCATGTTTCTACAGCAGCTCAGAACAGACACTGGCTCTAGTGAGAGCCTTTCACCTTCTGTTATCTGAAGGTAGCGATGCGTTCAGAAACCCGGGATTAAACGACCCCGGTGCTAAATTAATAAAGATGTCATAAAGATGTAAATATCTAATAAAGAGGACAGAAAGAACATGTCTGTGTTCTTTATAAACTTCACTCAGAAATGTTATTTATTTATTTACATACATCGCCGGACTTGAGGCTTCAACAGGCCGTCCACAAACCAATGGGTGATGTCATGATGACTCCGTCCTCTTCTTATATACAGTCTGTGTTTGCAACCTGCCATAAACTACTAGATGCCACTAAAACGTACACACTGTTCCTTTAAGTGCAATGCACTGTATCTTCTTTGAATAACCATTAAGGGAGAAAAATGATATTCTTTTTGGCCAATATTTGTTTTGTCATAATGATATTTAATTTCAGTCCAAACTAAAGTTAGGGATTTTATGATGCAGGGCTTTGAGAGATTTTTTTTTTTTCCATTTCTACCTCAGCATTAAAATGTATGATCTTTGACTGACATATGTCCTGATGAAGTGTGGAGCATCTCCGGTGTTTTCGGGGCCACCTGGTTGTCGGTAGTTCTTAAATATTGGTCTCAGCTGTGTTGTTGTGTCTCACCAGGTGAGTGACAGCTGGAGAGCATTTCTCCTCCTCTCTCTCTGCATCCAGTTGACCAGCTGGACGCTTGTCATCTACTGGTCTCGGCATCACTGGCACAACCACCCAATCAGCCGGGCCCTGCAGGCCCACATACAGCCTCCTCACCCTGGCTGGGGCTCTGTGGCATCCAGCATCAACACTGAGTTCAGACGCATAGACAAGTTTGCTACGGGGGCGCCTGGAGCCAGAGTAATTGTTACTGACAGCTGGGTGTTAAAGGTGAGTAACAAACTGTTTATTGCCAAGTACGTTACATACAAGGAATTTGACTAGTGCCTACTGGTGCATAACAATAAACACAGTGCAATAGTATGTGACATCATTTAAAATAGAAAAATATTAACATTTTACAATACGGTAAACAAATAACAATACATTAGTTGTATATTGATAAAGAAAAGATGTGCAAGGGTGTGTAACTAACAAATTGTTCTGGGGGTGTAAGAGTCAGTGGGGGTCCCGGGCTTTGTTGATGAACCCAACTGCAGATGGAAAAAACTGTTCATGTGGCGTGAGGTTTTGGTCCTGATGGACCGCAGCTTCTTGCCAGATGGAAGGGAATCAAACAGTTCATGTCTAGGGTGAGAGGGGTCGGCTACAATCCTTCTTGCTCGCTTCAGGGTCCTTGAAGCGAATAAGTCCTGGAGGGACGGCAGATTGCAGCCAATCACCCTCTCAGCAGAGCGAATGATGCGCTGCAGTCTGAACTTGGCAGTGGCTGCAGCGTACCAGACCGTGATGGAGGAGCAGAGGATGGACTCAATGATGGCTGTGTAGAAGTGCACCATCATTGTCTTTGGCAGGTTGAATTTCTTCAGCTGCCTCAGGAAGTACATCCTCTGCTGAGCCTTCTTGGTGATGGAGCTGATGTTCAGCTCCCACTTGAGGTCCTGGGTTATGATGGAGCCCAGGTCCTGGGTTATGATGGAGCCCAGGAAGCGGAAGGACTCCACAGTGTCGACGGGGGAGTCACACAGGGTGATGGGGGCATCTGTGTTTTCAATGTTTTGGTGCAAACTAGATGTGTCCAAACTACGACCATGTGCTGGCTGACACCTTCATGTATATGGTCCAGGAGTTCTTTTTAAATTACACCTATAGTTGGCCTGCTGGCTATATTAAAATGCAGTTCTTAATGTAAACACTAGGTGTCATTGTCACTATATGTGTAGATTGCCAGATGCCATCCAGGAAGTCAATCTCCTGTGGGAGAAATTGTGTTGAGTTCCAGCTGTTTGGCCGTGACAGGTGAGCAGAAAGGAATGATGTTCATCAAAGTTAGGCAGTCTGAAGGAGAAGCCCTTGCATGTATTACACCTCAGGAAGCACTCTGCACCACAGCCGCCTAGCTGGACCCCTGCGGAATCAGCAGGAGTTTCAGGCTTTCCTCCACCACCAGCTCCCCGTCAGAGTACTACAGGGGTTTACAAAAATGATCAAATCATCTCACTGCAGAGTCGGGTGCTCAGCACAGAGTGCTTCATTTATTTATTTATTTTTCAGGGACAATGCACACTAATCAACAGTTGCACTGTAAGTGAGCCAGAGTTAGCCAGAGAGGCTAATTTCCATCTGCTGTCCCTGGCCAGATGTTTTCCATGCAGCCTAAAATAACAAAATCTCAAATTGAAATGGAGTTAAAATTCATAGAGAAACAGACAGCAACGTATAGACAAAACCGAAACACAGCAAAAGAAAAGTGTACGACATTAAAGCAGAGCAGACACAACAGGTTTCAGCATGCGTCACGCAGAACAGACTCACCTACAGGACAAGCACATATAACACTGAAGCACTTAACATACACATCAAAAAAATGGAAAATAGCAACACTGATCAAGACAAATGCACATATAGATGAAACAAGCAGGCAGGACAGACAGTACATCAATGCTTGCACACCTGATTGGCAACAAGCCATTTCTTTAAGTTATGCTTGAATGTTTGGTACGTGTTTTGTGTGCGTATGTGTGGTGGCGGAGAATTCCACGAGTGAGCTGCCTTCACAGAGAATGTAGACTTACTAAACGAGCTTGACCTATGTGGAATGACACAATCGCCTCTTGAAGCAGATCTAGTGAGTCTGCTGCTTTGAGTGCTTTGTTTAATAAAATCACTAAGTGGAGGTGGGGCCATACCATGTAAAATTTTAAAAACCAGACACACATCAGTGAATTTAATGATGTTCTCCCAACTCAGGATATGGTGTTTGGTGAGAATATTGCAGTAATGGTGACTTTTGGGTTTTTTATCAAGTGTTTTTAGGGCTTGTTTATGGAGACTATGAATGGATTTTAATGTTGTGCTGCTGGCTTGTGCCCAGCTGGTTAAGCAGTAGGTCAGATGGGGGATAATCATTGCATTAAAATACAATTTTGCAGCTTGCATGGTTAGACAGTGTCTTATATATCTAAAATTCATGAGATTAAATTTTAAGACATTTGTCACATGTTTTACCTGTTTTTTAAAGGAGAGATTAGAATCAATAAAAATTCCTAAATACTGTAATGTATTTAAAATCTGACACTACCTGTAGCCTCTCACCAGCAACATAAACATCTGGCTCCAGTGACACTTTGCAAGCCCTCTTTGTGAAGAACATACAAACAGCCTTGTTAACATTCAGGTGAAGGCAGGAATCTGCAAGCCATTTAGTTACATTTGTCATTGTGGACGTGAGTTTAAGTGCAGCTTGTTCTTTGTTCTTTGCGTGCACATAAATCACTATCGTCAGCGTACATTTGAATATCGCACCCATCGCAGACAGCCGGCAAATCATTAATGTATAAACTGAATAGTAAAGGTCCTAAAATAGAACCCTGGGGTACTCCCACGTTAGATCTTAGAGTAGATGATGTAACATCACCCACTCTGACACACTGGGTTCTTCCTTCAAGGTAGGATTTCAGCAAGGCAAGAGACTCTTGGGAAAAGTTAAATTTTGACAGTTTGTTAATCAGGACATTGTGATTAACCGTATCAAAAGCCTTCTTCAGGTCAAGAAAAAACGCTGCTACTACACCCCCTTTATCCATTTTAAGCTTCACATTCTCTAAGAGGAAGCTGTTGGCTGTTTCAGTCGAATGATTAGCCCTGTAACCAAACTGCATAGGATGCAGCTGATATGGAGAGCTGTTGAGATGTTTAATGAGTTGCTCTGCAACACATTTTTCATCAATTTTGCAAACGGCATGGAGGATACTGATTGGCCGATAATTGGAGCCATCGGTTAAATCGCCTGACTTAAAAATGGGTGTTACTATGGCTGATATCCATCCTTTTGGAAACACACATTGCCTGAGAGAGTTGTTGACAATGCTTGTGAGCAAGTGTGCCTTTATGTTTCTTTAGAAAAATATTGTCAACATCTTTGGCCCTAGAGTTCTTGAGTGAGCCTAGAACTCTGGTGACAGTAGGTTCAGAGACTTCTTGAATAGCGAAGCATGGTTGACCTTCATTTACTGGTGGATCAAATTGACCAATACTGGAGCTTCGAGTTAAAGCTTCCACTGAGTTGATAAAGTATGAATTGAAAGCTGTACAAATTACTACTTCATCTTGTGTAAGGCACCCGTTCACATTAATTTTAAGTTGCTTCTTTGAATTGCTGTTCTGTTTGTCTGTCAACTTCTTTATATTATCCCATATTATTTTAGAATTACCTCCTGCTTCATCAATGATCGTAATAAAAAAATTAGCTTTTGCTTTTCTAAGTTCTTTCATTACCTGATTTCTCAGCATTACGAATTTCTGCCTATCATTTCCTAATTTAGACTTGAGTCCCAATTTTAACGCATAGTCCCGTTTTTTCATTAAATTCCAGATGTCACTATTTAGCCATGGAAATGTGTTTTTTTGATTTTGTTTAATTTTGGCTTTTTTAAGGAAACTGTTAATTGTGGTCTGTATTGTGGATAAGAAAATGTTGCTGTCTTCCTCCACACTTGCACCTGTTGAACAGTTGCTCCAATCAATTCTTTGTATAGCATCCTCAAATGAATTTTGGTCACCTTTCGGTATTCTTAATTGATAAGCCTTTCTGGTGCAAGACATACTAAAACGTTTCTTTGTAAGTTTTCTTGTTAAAAGTATCAAATTATGGTCAGACATACCAGTTACCATATTGTGTGTTTTGATCATTCTTTCAGGTTTATTGCTAAAAATCAAATTAATCTGGGACTGAGAAGAGTGGGTTATCCTTGTGGGTTTGTTCACTAACTGGGTCATATTAAAGCAATCAATTGTACGTTTTAGGGATTTTCTTCCAGACTTATCATCCCAATTTACATTAAAATCACCCATTAATATAACCTCTTTGTCAAAGTCACATTCCTTTAACATGGAATTAAGCTGATCGTAAAATTCACATTTGGACGACGGTGGTCTGTAGAGACATATAAGAGTAAGAGACATTTGAGATGATAGTGACACTTTCAGACCAATACATTCCAATTTGACATCACTTGACCACTCAATCTGGCTGCAGTTAAGGTGTTCTTTAATGTAAAACATTACTACTCCTCCTTTACCACTAGATCTATCTCTTCTAAATATATTGTATCCACATACATTCAAAGCAACAGAGGGCGAGTTTATATGTAGCCAGGTTTCTGAGAGACATAGAAAGTCCAGGTTTGAATCCACAACAAGTTTTATTTGATCCATTTTAGGCAAGAGACTTCGAATATTCAAATGCCCCCCAAACAGTCCTTTAGGTCTTGCGTGCGTAAGAGCACCCGGGCATGATTGACCGTTTTGAAAAGTTTATGTTTACATAATCTTTTATGATAGCTGGATTCAGGCCACTTTGTTTCACTTTCGTTGTTACAGCGCAATGTTCGGAGTTTTCAATTTGTTTTGAACAGGTATCCATATCAGCGTGTGAGTTAGTCAGTGGACTAAAATGATTGACAATTGAGTTTGTATTATCAATGGGTAAAATGTCTCCTCTGTCGCAGTATGTGATGGTGTTGTTCTCAGGACTCACCCACTTGTTGGTGTTGATCCGGACGCCAGACTGGTTGGTAGCTGGCATACTGCTGCTGGGACCTGGGTGTAGCCTAGTGGTAGCTGGCATGCTGCTGCTGGGGCCTGACCCGGTGGTAGCTGGCATGCTGATGTTGGGGCCTTGGTGTAGCCTGGTGGTAGCTGGCATGCTACTGCTGGGGCCAGGGCCTAGCCCAGTTGTAGCTGGAATGCTACTGCTAGGGCCTGCGATTAGCCTAGCGGCAGCTGGCATGCCTCTGCTAGGGCCTGGGCCTAGCCTAGTTGTAGCTGGCATGCTACTGCTAGGGCCTGGGCCTAGCCTAGTCGTAGCTGGCATGCTACTGCTAGGGCCTGGGCCTAGCCTAGTCGTAGCTGGCATGCTGCTGCTAGGGCCTGGGCCTAGCCTAGTCGTAGCTGGCATGCTGCTACTTGGGCCTGGGCCAGACCTGGTGGTGGCAGAAAGTTTGTTTCTTCCATCCAGTAGTTCACATTTATCTGGATGAAGAGTAGAGCCACCAATGCATTGCTGTTGATCAGTAGCCAGCAGTCCCAAAGGGAAAATATCAGTTGGTTCCTTCCTTCCAGTACAATCATAGCAAACTTGCACTGATTCATGAAGATAATCCTTGGACACAGGACTTTCTTGGTCTAGGATAAGGTTTGCTAGTGGACCAGGATTCAGTTGTATATCCCCACTTAGTAACAGCAGAAACAGTAGAGTGCTGTAAACATACCTTTGTTTGCTTCTCTTGGTGTGTTGTTTGCTGTCTCTACTAGAAATTCCATTGAAATGTTCTTTCTGCCAGAAAATGGAATAAACAGTCAAATATCCGTGTCCAAAGAAATTCAATCTCGGTGAGTTATTCAAAAGTGCAGATTGTCCAGGAGTAATTGATTGATTTCCAGCCAGACAAAGGCCTTGAGCAGGTGGAACAAGCAAAAACCACAAGCAGAATAACAGTGTCCAAACACCTCCATTTTCTCTGTAGCTTTTACTTGATTCTTGTCTTTGATTCAAGTATTTCTTTGATTTGAAGCATTTTCGTTGAAAAGCATCGGCTAAAACTGATATAGTCTGGAGTAAAATGTTAAATAAGAGGATTGGTGTGGAGCCCAACACACCACACCTGTCCTCGGCGGCCATCTTGATTGTTCATATTCAAGCTCTCTTGTTAGTTAGTATCTTAAATGAAAAAGCACATTGCCCTGAGTTATATACTTTTTGCTCCATGTGCATTGCAAGTCAATGCAATCTCCATTAACATCAGCTGTTTGCTCCATATGAACAGGACTGTGCTGTCACGGAATGAATTACAATAGAACAAGTGTTTGAAACAGTTAGTTTAAGGTTGTTCCTTCAGTAGTTGTTGAACTATTCCCCGCTAATGTTGCATGTTCAATCAATGAAAGTGATGTTGTGGGACTCCCATCATTCAGTGCTTTACGTGCAGTGGCCCAGGCACGCATGAGAGTGTGTGACACACACATCCGTGGTAGTGTGGTTTTTCACAATTGAATATTTATTATTAATTGAATATCAATTTTTTTCAACACTGAAAAAATGCTAATGTTGCTCTGTGTCTGCAGCATGTTTAAAGGCATTGAATGTTCCATAAAGAGTCGTCCACCACACTTTGATCAGTTTAATACCCACCTGTGACACGTCCCGTTTACGTTTCAAATCTGAAGTTTTCTAAATTGGCAAAATAACCTAAAAAATAACATTGTTCATCCACATGCCTGACCATCTCTGTCCTTCTGTAGGTGACCACATATCACGTCTACATGGCCTTACAGACTGAATGTCATGTGACAGTGACAGAGTCCAGGCAGCACCAGCTGACTCCAGACTTAGCCTCCCCAGCACAGATCTTGACCCTGAGAGTGGACAGCATCAACCCTGCTGTCAGACCCTTTGATATCAGGTGTGTGTGTGTGGGGGGGGGGGTCTTGAGCTGTCAGGAAGAAGCGGCATATGACATGTCACTTGCCCACTGTTTCCAGGCTCCTCTCTACAGAGTATGCAGAGCTCAGGGAGAAGCTCCACGCCCCCATCAGAAACTCTCCCAATGTAGTGATCCACCAGACCATGAGTGAACTCTTCCTGGAAACATTCCGAGCTCAGGTGGACCTCAATCAACCGTACACACTCCCCAGTGGACAGGTACACTACTGTCTGTGTGTTTGAATCCCGACCACAGGATCACTAAGAACATGCAAAAATGATTCAGAAGAATATTGTCTCTCCATACTCAGGAGGTGGAGCCATGTATAGGCTGTATGCAGGTTCCAGCAAACAGCAAGCTGGTCAGACTCTGCCAGGCAGAAGGTAAGAGAGAGAGTGTGTGTGTGTGTGTGTACCTTTTTATTTTCTTCCCAGGTACCGATACCAAGTTCATATACAGTTGTGTGAAAAAGTGTCTGCCCCCTTCCTGATTTCTTGTTTTTTTGCATGTTTGTCACACTTAAATGTTTCAGATCATCAAACAAATTTAAATATTAGACAAAGACAACACAAGTAAACACAAAATGCAGTTTTTAAATGACGGTTTTTATTATTAAGGGGGGAAAAAAATCCAAACCTACATGGCCCTGTGTGAAAAAGTGATTGCCCCCTAAACCTAATAACTGGTTGGGCCACCCTTAATAATAAAAACCATTTAAAAACTACATTTTGTGTTTACTTGTGTTATCTTTGTCTAATATTTAAATTAGTTTGATGATCTGAAACATTTAAGTGTGACAAACATGCAAAAAAATAAGAAATCAGGAAGGGGGCAAACACTCTTTCACACAACTGTATATGTACTCCAACTGTACCATCCCAAAGTCAGTGTAAACTGTCAACAATTCAAAATGTTAACCTTTTACTCTGTTATTGTCATCTAAAGTGGTAATTTGCATAAAAACACAAGATTCAAGTCATTGGGAAACATGATTGTATTTGCTTTGATAAAGACAGTAGTAGTTTTAATGAGGTATTCTAAGCTGCTTAGAGCTAGGGTTAGGAAGTTAAACAGGTCGAAATTCACTCTCTAATATCTATTTTATAGAAAGCATCTCTTTAAAACAACTGGATTTATTCAGGTTTTTCTCCAAAACTGCATTTTACAACATTGCATTTGAGCACATCATGATACCGTTATAATTGACCTTTGCCTACTACTCATTTAATGAATAGAGCTTCAGTAGATAATGTAGCTTATTGGAACCACTGGTAATGTTATCTCGCCAAGCAGCGCTGTGCTTCCCACTGGCTGCTAACAGCTAATGCTAACTAGCTCTCCTGCTGCTGATTTAAGCACAAATGTATTGTTCACAGTAATTATCAAGGGAAAATAGGATACATGAGAGTGAGGGGCGGACAGTTATTCTTTTTACCTGAAATGATTCTCACCGGCTCGGTTCACAAAAAGGATCTAGTCACTCCGTCTCCTCTCAGCAGATCCTGGCCTCTCAATTTGCCAAACTATTGTGGTGTGAGGATAGGGCAGAGGGCTTCCTCCGAGAGACCTAGGCTCCCCTGTGCACAGTTTCAGGTTCAAAGCTGAAGAGAAGAGGAGGTATTGAGTTCCGGCGTTCGAAGGACCAATTTATGTTGGTAGTAGAGCGGGTCGTCCTTCAATTAGAAGGTAGTTCGATCCCTGGCTCCTCTAGTCCATGTTGACGTGTCCTTGGGCAAGACACTTCATCCCAACATGCTCCCGTAGGCTGTGCCTGCCGTGTATGAATGGGTGAATGATGACATGTAGTGTTGAAGAGCTTTGAGTGGTCAGAAGACTAGAAAAGAGAAATACAAGTACAGTCCATGTACCAGTGTAACCGCAGGTGTGTAGCCTAAATGAGCTGATGCATGATATTATAACTTGATGTCAGATCAGTGCATAGACTCGCATACTCGCCGATACCCGACCCAGTATTTGAGGCAGTATCGGAGGCATTTCTGATACTGGTGTTGGTATCGGAACAACTCTAGTGTGTTAGTTGATTAATGTGACGATGTCTTGTGAACATGATAGTCCTGTCTATTCCTTGCCTGTATTTGTCTCGCTTTGTTTTCCTTATTCATAGCTGTTCTGTCCTTCTGTGTGATTCTAACTGTGACCCTGTGACTGCTGTGTGTTTATAGCAGCCGATAACGAGTCCGAGTGCCAGCAGTGTTTCTGCAGACCTATGTGGTGTCTGTCCTGTCTAGGTCGATGGTTCGCCAGCCGCCAAGACCAGCAAAGACCTGAGACCTGGTTGTCCAGCAGAGTCCCTTGTCCCACCTGTAGAGCCAAATTCTGTATACTGGACATCTCTGCGGTCCACTGAGACGACTAAACCGATCCAAACAGACTATTCCCGCTCAAAATAATGTGTGTTTATGAGCAACATTCAGTAGCAAGCTTCTGAGAGAGAAGCAGTGGACAGGACATCGGACTGAACTTATTCTGTGCTTTCAATAAGGAGTGATCATGAAAAACGCTCTGATAAATTGTTTTGAACCTCAACATGCTGTACACGGCATGATCAATGTGACACTCTGAGAGGAATGCTTGTTTGGGGTTTTACCCCGATCAGATAAGAGGGTTGATATCAGTGACGCTGGTCTCTGTGTGTCAGTAAGGCATCCACAATGTGTTTAGGTTTGCATAAAGACGTCCAAGTGAACAATGAATAAAGATGCCGACTGTATGACAAGAGCCTGTATCACTGTATATCCACTTCAGAATGCTCTGATGAGCCAACGTACAACTCACTCACTCCTACTCTACATCAACATGTAAAAGCAACTCAAGTGATCACGTGGTTATTCACAGGAATAGCCAATCACAACCAAGGATTCAACTTGCATCATGTGTTCAGTGATTCATGTTATCCTGCACAAGTAGAAGCAGAAGTGTTGATACTTCCCCATGACACAACTTAAAGGATTTGAATTTGGGTGACAATGGAAAAAGTTGATGATAATCACAAAGCCTTTGTGTATAAAAGATATTTCATGCAGTTAAGATCAGATACAGTTGCTGCATTATGGGCTAGGCCTGCAGGCAGCAGCAGCCTACTGCTAATAACTAGCATTCCGATAGAAACACAAACTGTTCTAGTGTTCTTATATTCATGACTTGAGCCGAGACAATAAGGCACACAATGCAATACAAAGAGTCAAAACACCAGATTAGAACTTTCTGAAATATTATGTGGAGGTACCAAATGTATTGGTTAAAAGGAAAACATAAACTAGAAACTACTACTTCTGAATAAAGCTTGGTCATTCCTTAATTGGATATTGTATTAATAGAAACTGTTTTAATTTACATCCGGCTCTACATCAAAATATACACGACAGACGATCATGAGCTATATGCCAGATGTTGAATAAATACAAGCTTGAGTATATAGTAGAAAGGTAAAAAAGCTCTTATCTTGCGTTGCTGAGAATGTTACTCAATCAGATTTCATCTAAATAGATATCTACATATTATACTGTTAAGTGGGGGGGTCCTGGGTCCTCCCCCTTGACACTTCATTCTCTGCGTTCTGGTGAATCAATTTAAATGACTGAAAACACGTAATTCAGGTGACAAAGAAATAAAAAGCAGTAAGGCTCTCAGACACTCTATTGCTTTCAAATATGTATTCTGCTGTAGATCTACTTTTCTCATATGTGGGCATGATTTACTTCCCCCCTCTTCAGTGCACTAGTTTCCTCTTGTCTGTGATGGAGCAGCTTCTCTTCCTGACCTTGGTGCCTCTCTAAGTGTTGGAGATCTATTCTCTCCTTTCACATCGAGCCTGCTGAAGTAAAGCAACATACCACTGTGCAGAAAAAACATTAACACCCACCAGTGGTGGGCCATCAGGGCCTGCAAGGCCTTCTCTGCTGGCCTAAATAGAATCACAAAGTTATATCTATTTTATAATTTTTCTTAAATACACATGTATTATAATTTATAAAAATATTTTTCCCATTATCTTATGTTCTCATTGCACAGCTACTGTCTTCCTCAGTTGCTCTGCTTCCAGTGCAGCTTGTTTTAAGTAGAGCTTTTATCCAATCAGATTTCACCTCTGTGTCTCTAGGTAAGAAGAGAGGCCAGGCCTGCAGACGGAGGCCTGCATCCATTTGCAGTTTAAGTGAATGGGGACGATATTGTTGATTGTCATATTCTTCAACCAATCAGATCTTTAGTTTGACATGTTGGGCGTATTCTTTGAGGTATCAGAGCCTGCTCGCCGGCCTATCATGACGTCAGCATTAGTGCAGCTCATTGTCTGCCGCGAGGTGCAGAGTGCGCTGTGATTGGTCAGTGGGCGAGCACGTGACTATCGTGAAACG